AGAGCAAGCAATGCTCTTAACCTCTGAGCCATCTCTCCAGCCCCTATATTTTAAATTTTTTATTGGTGGATTCTGCTGGAGCTTATTGGTGGATTCTGCTGGAGTATCCGAAGCAGATAAGCACTGGAGGGCTCCTGTTGCAAATCACCCTCTGGAGTGATGGAAGGATCTTTCTACTAGCACGTGGAGGAGACCCAATCTAGTGTTGGTGTGGCCACGGGGTTCTGTTTATGTCTTTCCTCAGGACAATGAGGTTCTTCTTTGGATTCCTGAGCACTGAACGCACCCTGTGACTGCTGCTGAAGCCCATGACAGAGACCTAATGGGTCTTCATGAAAAAATCTACCCTTCTGATGCCAATGGAGATTGAGAGCCCAATATGGCCAGCTTTGGCAAGCATTAATGTAAGCCTAGGAACTGTAGCCATGAGATTGGATTCTCCAGAAAAGCTGCCAGCTAAAGTCATGCTGGGATCACGAAAACTGGGCGTTGGCGGTTCGTGTCCCTGGAGTTGTATCCATGCCAGTGGATGTCCACACACTCCAGAAGAGAATTTGACATTGCTGCTGCTGCTGTTGCTGTTATAGCAATGGCAGTCACCACTGCTGTTTCTGGGATTACCATTTCATAATTGCTTACTACAGCTAGCACAGTGGAGACCCTTGCAACAAAAGTAGCTACCATAGTTAGTTAATCTTCCATTCTATTGGGCATGATAAATTTAATTCAGTAGTTATATACATCTCGATTGGCTTTGAAAATTATAACTTTATAAACTCAAGTTCCAGTTGCTTTTGGGATACTATCTTACAAGGACTCCAGTGTACAGTATGGCTCATTAAGGAAGGGAATGGCTCAGATGCCTTTAGCCTACTGGCTATGAGTGAGATAGGACCTCTGTTGGGTCTTTTCTGTGTCAAACACACAGATTGCAAGCCCAGTGCCACTTTGAGATCTTTGGCAGCAGTTAACTCTGCAGCTCACACACGATTGAGCCTGTATGATAATGAGTATTCAGAGACGGGTAATACCTGAAGGGCACTCACCAACCTAAGACAGAGCACCTGTGTGGCCTGGGCAGGCGTCTCCATGACAGGTAAGGTGACCTACTGATGTCGCACAAAACCTAAGTCAGAAGCTCATTTCTTAATAAAAGGGGGACCTGTAGAGCCCTGGTCCCCGTTTTGGGTAACTGTTGCCTTGCTTGCAGACCTTGACCTTGATATTCTCCCTATGCTAATTCCCTGCCAAGTTCCACCCTCCTGAATGCTTAAGGGAAGTTCCTTGTCTGTGTATCCTGAATAATGGGTGTTAACAGCTTAGATGCAAAATTGTAAAACATCAGTAGCAAACTTCTGCCCTCTGGGGTTCTCCCATTGTGCTGTAAGTCTGTATTTAAGACCTCCTCCCTCCTTCAATAAATGACATTTGGCATTAAAAAATATATATAAATATAATATATATATATAATTGAATGAATACTGTGTAATCTATGAATACCACAAATGTGATTAATATCATGAGTGTAATTAATGAATATCATGAGTGTAATTTAAAAAATTAAAAAAGATTTGTGTATCAATGTTTTGTTTGCATCTATGTATCTGTACCAGGTGTGTCTGGTGCTTGTGGAGGCCAGAAGAGGGCATCAGACCCCAGGAACTGGAGTTATAGATGGTTGTGAGCCACCATGTGGGTGCTGAGAACCCAAACCTGGGTCCTCTGCAAGAAGTACTGTTAGCCAGTGAGGTATCTCTTCAGCCCCTAGAAGATTTTTTTGAAAGGATAGCAAGAAAACAGGAGGCAAGACCACTTGGGAAATTGCTGAAATTGTTTGGATAAAAAGAATTTCACATATGGCAAGTTTTTTTTTTTTTTTTCCCCTCAACAGTCCCAGCTTCTATGGAGCCCTTGAGTATAGGTTAACAGTGTAGAAAAAGAAAAACAAAACCCTGAGCCAGGCGGTGGTGGCGCACGCCTTTAATCCCAGCACTCGGAAGGCAGAGGCAGGCGGATCTCTGTGAGTTCGAGGCCAGCCTGGGCTACCAAGTGAGTTCCAGGAAAGGCGCAAAGCTACACAGAGAAACC